TTTAGGGCCTTTAGGGTTTTGGGGTTTTAGGGTTTTGGGTTTTGGGGTTTTGGGGTCTTGGGTTTTGGATTTGGGTTTTGGAGTTTAGGGTTTAGGGTTTTGGGGTCCGAGAGGTTGGGGCTTCGGGAGAAGAGGTTGCCTTGCGGTGATTTTGCCACCCTCAAAGCTGCTACAGTCTTGAACCCTGGGACTTGCACGGGTATTAGGGCTTGGACCAGGAGACCATGTTTGCTGGTTCTTGTACCTTCTTCTGGAGCCCTGCTGTTGATGATATAAATCCTTAGCGTTACCTTAAGGACCCTAAACTATGGGAATTATGGTATATTCCTTATTATGGGGAATGCAGGATTTATATCATCGACCGTATTGCTTAGCTCTAAACCCTGAACTCTAATCGTCTGGGCCCTACTCTGCTGTTCTTGTAACAACCCCAGGCCCAGGCGAAAACCGACAAGTTGCACCGCAGCTGGGGGCAGACAGGATAGAACCCATTTCGATATCTACCGGTCTTACCACCCCTACCTGACCCTACTCTGCCACCAGGTGTAGGCAAGGTAGCTCGTCTCTAGCTACTGCGTGGGGTAGCAGTAAGACCACATGCCAAAGGGTCGAGGCAACTCCCAGAGTTTGTGATGCGTTTACGGTATCCATTAGTGTTTCATCATCACTGTCTATCAAAGGATGCCTATGAAGCCTAAAAACCGTAGTTTCACGTGGGTCTGCAGACGGATGTCTGTTCGAGGTTGAGAGCTGCATTGCTGCTGAATTGTTGGTGCAACGCGTAATCTGCAGGCCCATAAGAGTGTGCTCGTGAGGAGCACACAAACATGGCGCAGGGTGCATCTCTCGGGGTTGTTGGGTTTTGAGGTGGGTGGGTTTAGGGTTTAGGGTTGAGGGTTGAGGGTTGAGGGTTTAGGGTTGTGGGTGAGTTTGCTGAGTGCTAGATGCCGTCCAGCCTCTAGCTACCGAACCCCCTCGGGCCACACGTGCTGGACAAGCCTCGCCTGCATCGTCCGAGTCGCGAGAGTCCAAACCCTCAAGACCCATGACCCTAAACCGTAAACCGTAAACCCGTAAGACCCACAACTGTAAGCCCCGCGCCCTTAAGACCCCGAACTATAACCCCTAAACCCTCATCCCTACAAGCCTTAAGACCCGCAAGAAGGCCCCTAAACCCCTAAACCCCTAAACCCCAAAACCCAAAACCCTAAACCCTAAACCGAAGAATCGAGGTCAAAGTCTCCGACTTCTTGGAGATGCGGGGTCCGCCGCGGCCGCACCACCTGCTGCAAGAGGAGGGCCTGTTGCATGCACCTGGGCTTGGTTTTTCGGCTCTTAGCGTCTGTAGGGGTAGTAGACGGGGTTTGGGGTTTTTTTGTCTTGGGTGTTGTGTTTTGGGGTTCAGAGCTTCACTTTTGTAGGTTTTCTTTTGAATCAGGGCTTTTGTGGCTCTGGGTTGTGGGTGCGTAGGGTTTCTTGTCTAAGGTATGTAGAGTTTTGGGTATGAACGCACCGCGAATCCTAAACCCTTGTATGCTCTTCAAGAAGTTAGGTTTGGGTCACCAAGGAATGGTTCCCAGGCATGTTCGTGATCTTCACTTCGCACCAGTGGTTGAGTTCCACCCACCCAGATCCACAGGGTCAGCAGATGGCGGTGCTTCAAAAGGCTCTCCGCGGGATGATCGACGGATCGCTGCAAGTGCATGAGGACATCGTGTCCAGGTCTGACGATATGAACCTGTCCAATACTATTCGTCAGCACATCGCCGAGGGGTTTCTTTTCTTCGATTCTAGGTCGGCTAGCAGTGCCCTGTACCCTTTTCATTTCGGAGTCGCCCGTTGCGATTACTTTTAATGAAAAAGAGAAACTCTTATCTGTGCGGGGTTATTGGATCACCAAGGATTGGTTTGCCATCCCTCAAATCACCGTGCGGAAGGATGGCGTGAATGAGGAGTCCGTAAAGAGCGATGCAGCCCTGGCTGTTCAAAGCATTCCAGCTTATGTGGAGCTATCCAATGTCTTCATTGCGCTGGTGCCAGAGCTAACGCACAAAGATTCGTCTGCTTTGGTGAACTACGCATCGTGGCTGTCTCGTGGGTGGCTTGGCTTCGTTTGGTAAAACCTTTGGCCAACTTTGACTGCGACCGCAATCAGGGAAAGACCGAGGTGGTGTCGCGCCGAACTCTGGTGTCGTCTATTGTCAAACAAGATCGACACCACCATCATTGTTATTTATTCCCCGACCGAAGCCGAATTTATGTTCCCACTCGACTGGCAGCACAACAGCATCGTGGACGGGAGCTTCACAGTAGAATCGGATCGGGCCATCGTCGTTCAGCTTGGAGAGACGGCCGTGGAAAGCAAGATCCAACACTTGCAGGTCCACAGTCAATGATGGTATGCATTGTTGCTGCTGTTTTGTGTTTGTTCCTAGCGACGATTTTGCGACTCGCTGTGCAGCAGCTGTTGCATGGTCTCACGTTTTAGTTGCATATGGTTTGCTGTTGTAGGACTACTGCGATTGCGGCGGCTTCTGTGTTTGGCAGATAGGGTAAGATTTCGTACATTGCCTGGGTTGCCAATCCTACGGTGCATTCTGTTCTCTTGGGCATTCCTGAACGCTGCCGTTGTGACGATTGCGGTTCGAACAGACTATTGCGATTTCCTAAGACTGTCGTTTATGATATGTCTACATAGCTATATTGTATGGAATTTTGGTGGTGTTGCGCTTATCTTAGTCTTAGTCGCTCCAGGTTCCCATGGTCGTGTTTGCATTCTGTCCTCCAGCTAGACGCCTGTTGCGAGTATTCATTGGGCTGTGCTGTCTGTCTTGGCTATTGATTTTTGCATAGTCGTTCAATGTCATTGCGCGTTTTGCAACATGGCTGCGCATGTTGCCATGTATGCTAGTCAAGCTGGCTGGACCAGGGCAGTTTGAAGTACTGTTGCGGGTTCCGTTACGGGTTACTTTGCTGTCTCGCCTCATATTGAGTACCGTTCTTGATGCAGTTTGACTCTCGTGTCGTTGTTGCCGTCGCTATGCTGTTGCTGTTGTTGTTCCTGCTTGTCGTGAGTATTAGCCAATGATGCATTGATATCAGTTTCGCGACAGCCTGTGGAACTGCTGGCCACAGCGGTACCTACTGCTAAGCATCAGCATGACTTCCACTGGTGCGGATATCCCCTAACCCCAAACAGCGCCTGGCCTGTCTGAGAGTGAGCACCGAAACAGCTCAATCCTACTTCCAAGTGCTCAACTAAACTCCCTTAAACCCTGCCACTAATCAGTAATCATGCGTTTGTTTGATTTCCGTCATGTCTCTTCCGGCGCTTCTATTCGGATCCTCACCGTTGCCCAGTTATCCTTACCTAGACTCTTCGCAGGGTGGTTCTCCGAGCGTTTCAGGATTTGGGGTTTTTAAGCTTTGTCTCACAGGGATGTCCACAGAACTAGTTGTTTTGCTTTATCTTCTTCGAAGAGCCCCATGCTCGTTGCAGTCGTCCTCGTATTCACTCCCTCAGGTTTATGGCCCCTTGCGGGATTGCCGTTTCTACTGCGCCTTGCGGCCGAAGCTTCTGTGCCAAGAACGTACCGACAGAACGTTGCAGCAATTCTTGGAGGACTCCGTGGGATGGATGGGCCCAAAGCTACGAGAACTCACTGTCTAAGCAGGTCCTGTAGATGAATTCCGTATTTTGGTGGCAGAGGAGTAGGTGAGGGTAGTGTAACAGTATAGTGTTTATGCTAAGCACCGAACCTTGGCAAGGGATTGTGCGATGGTAGTCTAAGGTTCCCGATAAAGGCACCCTTTGAACCGTAAACCCCGTCATCAACCCCCCCAAACCGCGAAGCCCCAAGATTCCCGATACAGCGTGTCGTACAACAGTTTCCAGAGAACTTCCAAGCACTGCGCGCTTGGTCCTTGGCAGGTAGGAGGCAGAAAGAACCCGAAACCGACTGCGAACCGAGAACCTCATCTGGCTGGTCCGAGTGCGAGAGCGTAAGCCCTAAAGCCTAAAGCCCTAAACCCTAAACCCTAAACCCCCTCGGGGATGCTCAGTCCTGTTTCACGCCGACTTCGCACCATGAACCTCGCCTGGCATGTCCGAGTTGTGAGAGCGTAAACCCCAAAGCCCTAAACCCTAGGCCCACCAAATGCTGGGGTTTCCGAGTCCTTCATCCGGTTCGTTTTCGGAGGACTTCCAGTTTACCAGCCTTGAGGAAGCCGCCGCAGATGCCAGTCTCCGGGTCGGTTTAGGGTTTAGGGTTTCACTCTTTTCTTGTGGCTAGGCGTTGTACGGGTTTATGCTGCGGATGTGGTTTAGGGTTTAGGGTTCAGGGTTTGATTGGCTAGGGGTTGGACCGATTTATACTGCGGCTGTAGGGTTTTAAAGCGTGTGTTGGTGGTTTCTGGGTTTTATAGGGTCAGGGCTAAAGGTTTGATCAACAACAGCGGGTGGCTTAAGAAGAGCTATCCTACTTTGCAGCCCTTAGTGTCCGTGGACGTTTGGTCTGGGTTCAATTCGGAAGCTCAGTAAGAAGCAGCAATGTACTTGAAGTACTTGTATAACTGGCATAGCAAGCATGAACATGCTTGACCTAAGCCGCTAGATGCGCAATTGTTGTTGCCGTTGCCGAGTGTTTTTGGTGTGTAAGGCTGCTTTCCCCACGTTTATAACCTGACATCCAAATTTTGCTTCAACTTCTTCGCACATTGTCTAGCAAAATCTCTGCTCAGACAAAAGTTCGTGTTTTGCAACACCGGGGCAGAGCTGAGGTAGCATGAATGCGGTGATGTGTGCCATACTGTCTGGTGACACTGGCATGCTAACCTTGTTGGCAGAAAGCAGGGCAGACATGAACCGTCCTATGTATGGCCTCAGCGACTTGGGGTTCTATGACACACAGACACTTCTCATGGCGGCGACGAAATCACGTCAAGATCCGGCTGTGCTCACCAGGCTTGTTGAGCTCCGCGCAGACCCCAATGGTCGTGCTAGGACAGGGCTTTCGTCCTTATACATGTGCCGATCACCCGGACATGTGAGGGCGTTGCTCGAGCAGAGAGCAGATGTGGCACACTCCGCATTGAACGGTGCAGCATCCTTCGCTGGTCCAGACACGATTCGAGAGCTTTTGAAGCACCGGTGCGATCCGAGCGATATCGGAACTGGAAGATATGGACCATTGCATGCAGTTGCCCTGTTTTCACGGAGCAATCGGCATGCCGTAGAGACTGCCAGACTTCTTCTGGAGAATCGTGCAAACGTCAACGCACGCTCCACTCCACGTGGCGAGTTCTTGTGGGAATGCAGGAAGGCCCGTGTGCAGGTGGCGGTTCTTGGGTTTGCCAACAGCAACATGATGACTCGCCTGCGGGCCTCAATGCCGCTTGACTTTGGTTTACCAAATGGGCTGTTTTAACCCTACATCTTACATTCTGCAGAGACATAGCTCAAGGTAAAGCTTCAAAGCCACGATGTGAGCCTGCCAGGCACATACCGGACTAAGGAAAGGGGAAGTGTCAGGCCAGCGATTTTTCGGTCCAAGGCCGCAAAGATTTCTTCTGAATGCTAAAACCTGCACCTACACTCCTACATCCGAAATTGCGGTAGAGCATGTGATCTGGGCGGAAGCCTTGGGGCAAAACCGCGAAACCTAGGCTGAACTGAAGAACCACACGCCTTGCGCATGGACGACGAGCTTCAAGCCATGTGCTTGTCCGAATCCCACAAATTATCCATTAGTTACTCATCATCTACCCCTTGAGGCTTAGGGTTTCAGGCAGGCTTTAGGGGGAGCTACTTGGAGGTTCATGGGTGGTTTTAGGTGGGGTTATAGGTAGGGTAACTACACTTATAACCCATACTAGGGGACTTATAGCCCCACTTATGACTACCCCTGAACCTCCTGGTAGCCAAGACAAGGCCTGGGATTACCCCTCTGGGCTATGCAGCTTTGGTGGGCCACGGGCAGCTCACGAAGCCGCTTGGAGTTGTTGCACGGGGAGGGGGGGGGGAGGGTGACAGAGGGTTTGGGGATGTTTAACCGGTTTAGGGTTTAGGGTTTTATCCCCAAGCCCTTAAACCCTAAACCCGAAACACTATTAGGGCTCAGAGGGTTGAACACAGCTAGTCTTAGGGGCTTCTCTCCTGGGGAGTTGGCCTTCCGAGACCGCGTCGAATCTCTGCGTATCGGTGCCAGCCGAGGGACCAGAAGCAGAGAAGAAGTCTTGAATGAGTGCTATCGCCAAACCAGAGCCTGCTCCTTTTTGCTACAGACGTCTGAATAATTCGTAATCATATTCCCCTCGTAGTCTCTAAATCCCTGAATGATTAGCTTGTATCACCACTGACATCAGGTGTACCCGCTGCTGCTCAAGCCTTCAATGTGGCAGCAGGTTGTGTTAGCGATTTCCGAGGTCTTGCGATCGCCTCGCCTTTGCAGCAATCAGGATCCTGTGCTTCTCTGCTTTTCCTGCTTCTCTTTGGGCATTTTCATAGGCTTTGGCCTTGGAGCTCTCGTGCTCTCACCTTCGTTGCAAACACTGGTGGGGCGAGTGACTCGACTGATCGCTGAAGCTTTGCTCACGAGAGAACCCGAACAAGTTCAGAGAGCGCAACGTGGGCCTGTTGCTCAGCGGTTACGACTGCGTCGACGGCCGCTCTTACTCCCTGCGGAAGATTGAGTTGGTTGTATGCTTGGATTGGTTAATCTGGTCCTGTGCTGTTGCATCTTCT